GCCACTGTTGTTTTTGACAACCATCTTAGATTTCGTCTCCGTCTTCAGGACGAAAACTATTATTAGTCTTAGTCGTATTTTAGTCATTATGATATGTGATAGTTTTAGTCGGTTTTAGTGAGTTTTATGTTGCAAAAAAAGTTAACCTTTACAAATAGCGGATCTAGTTCAACACATCATATTGGTTAAAATAGCAGACAAGCTAACAAAATGTCCAATAAAGGAATGGTTTTAAAAATACACGGTTTCCGTCCCAAAGCAAACACTTCCTGATCTACTATGAATTCATTGCTCTAAAAAAGCAAAGCACAAAAAACATTCAAAGTCAAAGTTGATTTAAATTCAGTGTTTTGATATAAAATAAATGCAGAGAGAACCTAATTGGCAATCCAGACCTAAATGTAATGAAATATGCAAACTAAAATGTTGAAATATTTAAAGGAAACGGAGAAAAATTTTTAAATGACATTACAAGAAAAAATTTACATTATATTTATATAGATAGAAACGAGAACAATGAGAGAGAAATATTCAAGATCTATGTAGCTTTTCATCGGGCTCTTTATCCAAAGACAAAAAGAACGCAATGAAATATTTGCTTTGGATATAATTTAGGGATTCCTTTTGGTAGGAATTAAAGAATATTTAGTATCACCTCTTTTGAACTGGAAGAAGTAAAATCTTTATAGTAAAGGGTTTTTTTACGCTTGGCAGAGGATGATCAGCCACATAGTTTAAGTAGCGATGGTGGAAGAGCCGTAGTGCTGAGAGCGAACCATCAGAGTGCAGCGTGAAGCGCAGACTCTCAGCTCAGCGCGCAAAGACGCATTTCTGCACAAGCACAGCTGGGAGATCAGTTTGTCAGACCAGTACTGGACCAGTCCGGATAATTTTCTCAGACTCTGCCGCTGCTGCCTTGATCCATCTGTGCTCCTGCAGCCTGTGCAACGCTGCGCTGCAGGTGGGCGGCATGATCGAACAGGACGCAGCTGCACCGGTGATACTGCTTAGCAGATCGCCCACTAATCCACCCACAAATTTTCATTTAGTCTCGATGATTAAAACTGAAACCTTTGACTAGTCATGTTTTCGTCATCAAAGATCCATGTTTAGCTCGTCAGTTTTGTTATTGTAGTTTTTAAAAAAGGAGCGTGAACGAAATGATTTCGTCATTAAAAACAACACTGGGTTGAGCTCCCTACAAAGATTCTCTATTGGGTTTATGTTTGGAGACTGAAAGAAGCATATCAGGGTTCTGGCGTGGCAAAGCCAGAGTCCCTCCTTGGTTATTCTGGCTTTGTGCTTCGGGTCATTATCATGCTGGAAGACCCAGCCTCCACCCATCTTCGTGGCCCCGGTCATCCTCTCCTTAATACAGGGCAGTCGCCCTCTCCCCTT